ATTGGCTTGGCAAAAAGTAACAGACACTGCTGAGCTGTGTGAGCGGCACATTCCTCACGTTCCTTAGACTTCCCTTCATCACCAAAGGTGCTGTTCCTGGCCTCGCTCCCTTGTCCCTCTGCTTACCTGCCCGAAGGCCTAATGCTGCCTTGCCTTGACACTGGGCGTCTCCTCATTCCTGCCTCCCCTGCCAACAGTGGAGGTGGTGGTGCCTAGGGCTCTGTGTTGTTTCCATGCAGAAAGGTTAGACAAGATCCCAGCTGGTTGCTGTTATTTCTGCCACTAGCACATGCGCCGTGTGTTTCTGGCTTCAAACCCCAGACCTGTGCCTTCATGTCACAGGGGATTCCCGCCCCCCTCACCTTTCTTGTCCAGAGGGATGGTGGTGGTCCATGAGGGGCTTGATGAGGTTTCAGCACCATTTGGACACTATCCATTAGGAACGAGGTCCAGAAAAGTCTAAGAAGACTGTGACTTCCAGCCCTGCCTCCTAATGACCTTGGTTGCAGCCTTGTTCAGTGATTACCGTGCCTTCACAGCTGGGGCCCAAGTAAGTCAGGATGGGAGTCCATGAGCACGGCCTGACTGTTCCCTTCTCTGCACAGGCCAGCAGAGCCAGCCCCAGAGCAGCCAGCCCGACTACAGCAAGGCCTGGGAGGACTATTACAAAAAGAGTGAGTCCTGCACACCCACCTTGTCTCTCCCCCACACTGTCAGAGGAAGCGAGATATGGCCAGGGCTGCTGGTTGCATTGTCCTCACAGTTTGGGGGTGTGTGGCATGTCAGGGCAAGCAAGAGGACACAGGGAAGGGAGCTGCCACTTAACTGGATGCTGGTGGCTTGTCTTTCCTGTGAAAGTCCATTCTCTTGAGGGATGCCAGCACCAAAATGTCTCCTGAGTAATTGTCAGTAGCAAAGAGTCTGGGCTTATTCTACTCTAAACCAGTTCTGGGTCTGCCAAAGGGCTCCATGACAGCATCTTGCACCTAGAACAGTCTCTCACCAGTGGGAAGGTCCGGGTAAGGCTGTCAGAAGCTGCTCGGCCTTGAGGGCAGTCCTCTCTGGGCCACTAGCTCCTCTGGTGACTTGACAGACTGGTGTCAGGTGGTCTCCTCACTGGGGGCCTGGAGGAGTTCGGGTGCCTCCACAACTTATTAACCCGCAATTCCGATTACCCAGGGCCTGTTTAACACCAACCCCACCCTACCCCACCTGAGAACCACCCTGCACTGTCTCTCCCCACTGTGGCACCCAGAGTTGCTGGGCAGGCAGTTGGTGTGTGGGAGTCCTGTAGACGTGTAGCTTCTAGGGGAGCTATGGCAGAGCCTAGCAGCAGAAGGCCAAAACACTTCATATATGGCAAGCACTTCTGCAGCACCAAATGGCAGCAGCAGTCAGGGGAAACAGATGCCTCCCAGCCTGAGAAGGACCTCCCATTTCCTCCCCTTTCTGTAACTCTGTCTCTTCTTTGTCATCCAGGTCATACCACCAGTGCTGCCCCTCAGGCCAGCTCCCCACCAGACTACACGATGGCCTGGGCGGAGTACTACAGGCAGCAGGCCGCCTTCTACGGACAGACTTTAGGGCAGGCTCAGGCCCACAGCCAGGTCTGTAGCCAGTCCCCAGCACCATGATGCCACCCAGCCTTTGTGCTTGCCTAGTCCTAGGGTGAGCACACAGGCCTGTGGGGATCTCCTCTGTCTCCCTTTGTCCCAGCCTTGAGCTTGCTCAAGTGCTGCCCCTTCTCTAGCCCAACTAAACAAGTGCCAGACTTTCCCTGGGTCTGCAGTGAACTCCAGGGCCTCTGTTTGCACAGCAGTGGTAATAGGTCCACCCCCCCTTCCAGGGGGCCAAGTGGGTATAGGACCAACTTGATTTTTTCATGTGCACAAGCTTGGAGGACTCTCCAGTCCTCCGCCACCTAGTGCTCCCTCAAGGCTCCTTTCTGGGGACCTGTGCCAGTCAGACCTTGTAGGAAGTTGGTGATGGGGCTGGTAACTCAGAAGAAGCCCTCCCCAATGTCCTGATTCTAGACCCTGGGGTGCTCAGACTCCAGCATTAGGTGGCTGGGTGCTGGGCGTGGGGCTGACCCTCTCCCTCCCCCCACAGGAGCAGTAGATGGGCGTCTGCAGCGGCTCTTCCCTGAAATCAGTGTGAGAGAAACCTGTTTGTTACAGAGATTTTTAGATTTGCAGACCTTTCAATGAAGAACCTTTGTTTGTTCTGTGAAACACTATATTTAGATTAACAGAGATTTTCTAAAAATCGGGAAAATTAGTTACTAAACATTGCTGGTAATTTCTGTGTCATGATTTCTTTGTTACTCCAATGTGTGAGCTCTGGGGTTCTGGAGCAAAACCTGCAAGCTCAGGTGCCCGGATCTCCTGAGTCCTGACGTTTCATCAGATAATGGGTTTGTTTTGTTGTTGTGTCTTTTTATTTACAGGTTTTTTTGTTTGTTTGTTTCTGTTTTCTGTTGCAACAGAAAAATGGCTTGGAAGTCTTAGGTGGTAATGTAACAAATTCTTTAAAAAAATCTTAAGCAGTATTTAAATATTCGTAAATGTAAATTCATTAAGTGTTTCACCTCCAATTTCTTGTATCTTGGCTGTCCAGTTTTATTGCGTTTTTTTTAAACTGAACTATTATGTATTGTAATTAATGATGTGAATTCTGAACTGAGACGGGTCCTTGTTGCGGGAGGAGCGTATGTGGATTGTGTCATTTCTAGCGTTCTGAGGATAATGCAAAGACACAGTCCAGCTTCGTGTAAGCTGCCCATCTCTATTACCCGGTGCAGTTGTGTGTCTAAGACCTCCAAGCTGGTTTTAAAAACAAAAAGCCTTTCTCTATTCTCAGAAATATAAATACTGTTATTTTTAATATTAAAAAGAAATTCAATATAACTTTTAACAAACACTGTGGACATTAAACCATATAAAAATGTAGTAACTATTTTTTAATTCCAAGGTGTTTTTTGCTTTTTTCTTTTAAATATTTTCTTAATATTTGTCAAATTAACTAGATAAATAAATAAATCTAGTATTAACCACAGTATGAGTTAAATAATTTTGATTTAATAAAAGGGATAATATGATTTCCAATGTTTACTGTAGTGTATCTTGTACAGATAACATGTATTTTTAAAGAAAAAAAACTGAATTGAAGCTATTTTTTTCTTGCATTTTGAATTGACCCCGAGGAACATTCCGTTTGCAATGTGCTCAAGTTACAGTTTCCGGTTCTCTCGTTTTCCTTACAATGCTTGAAATGTCTAACTATTAAAAAAAGGCAGTTGGAAATATTATGCATGTTTATTTTTTAAGATGTTCATTTTATTTGACTGACAATTCATTTTACACTCTATATAATAAAATTTCCACAAGATATCTTGTGGGCAAAGTGTTCTCAGTCTGTTTTGTTTGCTGGCCCCTGGCTCTTGCACTTCCTAGCTGAGGTCACCTTGCCCTGCATCAGCCTGACCTGATAGTGTACAGCCCCTGGTGGCTTCTGGTTTTAGGTGTAACTTTACATGAGGCCTTTTGACTTAAGGACCACAGTGAGGACAAGTCTTCCCTGTCAGAGCAGACTGAGTGAACAGTCCTGCCTGGGCCTGGGAAGGTGTAGTGTCAAGAAACGCCAGTGGGTCTGTACCCCGTCTTAAGCCTGAGACCCTGGTCATGCACTCACCTAAATATACACAGACCCTGCTCGTGTGCACGTGTGTTTGTGTGACCCACTCAGCTGTGCTCTGCTGGGTGGTGGTTACTCTCAGGCTCAGGTGGGACTCTGGTTTATTAGGACCTGGGACAGCAGCAGATGTAGCCATTTGTTCAAGAAAATCTAAGGGGACTAAACCCCCACGCACACCAGTGCCCTGCAGGACCTGACCACAGAACCTGATGCAGCAAAGGCCGCTTTGCTGGCTGTTTTCTGTCACCTTTTGGAGGCAACTGGCTTGAAATTCAGTTTCTTGCCAGAGAATCTGCATGCTTCAACCTTCACCTTGTACCTCTGTGCTGTGGGATTGACTCAGTATAGACAACAGGCCCATTAGTCCTTGCTCAGAACCCTCTTGGTGTGTATGTGGGGGGTGCATGCGCACACGCGTGCACACCACACAGGAGTGAAAGCCACATCTGTGGATCCTTTAGCCCAAAAGGGGGTGGGGAGAGTGTCCCATCTGGGCCACACTGAGGCCTGTTGAGAGCCGGAAGACAAAAAGGAGATGTGGCATCTTTAACTACACCTCTAGAGAATCGAGTTTGACGTTGAGAAATTGAATAGTGAAAGCCACTCGGGGAGGGGGAGGGCCGGCCAAGAGGGCATCAGCGCTGATGACGGTAATGGGAGTTGGAGAGGGCATTACAGGGAAGACTTCCTTCTAATTCATCTTCCAAGCTCAGTGCCAAAACAGCATTTGGCATGGTTCACAGGGAGCAATTGTGTGATAATGAACCCTAAGGTGTCCCTTAATTGAAGACTGAGCATTGCGGTTTGTGCCAAGAGTCGTAAATGGCGCAGGCTTGCGGGAGGATGCATTTTCTTAAATGTATCGGTAAGTACAGATTAGCGTTTGTCCCCAGTGAAATGCCGTACTATAAATTATGGAAATCTCTCTTTCCCTCTGATGCAGTCTTCTGTTGGGGGGTGGGGTGTGCGGAGCAGCAGGCCGCAGGGGGGAAAGTTTGCAAGCATATGAAATTTGGCCTCTCATTAACATGGCGCCCGCCCTCTGAAGATGGGTTCCATCAGCAGTCTGCTGTCCTGGAAGGCTAAAGTGCTTGAAATGTACCAAGTTCAGCGGTTGTGTTCCATTAAGAAAGCTGCATGGTCATCACGGAGGACAGAGCCTGTTCTGTCTTCAGAGAACTCACCCCACACCCACACGGGCTCTGCCCACAGACTTGATTCAGCTGGACCCCTGCTGAACTGACCTAGCCCCACCCAAATTGGTACTGGAGTAAGGAGTTCTCCATCCTCCATGGGATGCACCTCCTTCCCTGCCCCTGGCCTCTCGAATAGGAGGCAGTCTTATCCATTAGTGGGCCCTCTCATGTGGGGGCCATGCATGTATCCTACAGCCCCACAGGAGCACAGATGGTATACTACAGTGCCCAGACCAAGGGGTACTGCACACCCTGGAGCCCCAGCTCCAGCTGGCTCCAGCACTGCCGTTTCCCTGGCCCTCCGGGGCCCAGCTGGGGTTTAGGATGGGCTAATGTAACTGCTCCTGAAGGGCCCAGATTAATGGCCCGAAAGTGGCCTGACAATTCCGCAGAGGCCTGCCTGTCCAGGGTGCCTGCAAGAGGAAGCAAAGACATCCCGGATGGCTTCAAGCAGTGGTTATCTTGGGCTTTTTTATCTTGAACCTTTCTCTAACTTCTCAAAGGGGGTGCTCACCCTCTCTACACTGGGCCCAGGCCTGCAAGGTAGAGGAGCAGGTGCTGTGTCGTCTGCTGTCAGCCAGGTCTTCTGCAGTAGGGCCAAGACTGCACCTCATAGAGCTGGTAGTCTCTGGACAGTTGCCCAGTGAGGTAGCTGAGGAGGAGAGGATGTCTTAAGAGTAGGAGCTGAGCAGCAGCCATGGGCAGGTCCAAAGGCACATCAATCCCTTGCCATGTACATCACTAAGATGCATTTGAAACCCCAAACCAATACCTTTGCAGTCATTTGTGGACCAAATTCAGTGGTACTGTTCTGCACCATCCTCGCTGAATTCAGCCAAACAGTATTATGTGGCCTTCTTAAATTCCTATTTGGGAGGGAGCTGGTATTGAGACTGCTTATGTAACTCTGGTTGTCCTGGAACTGGCCTCTACCTGCCTCTGCCTCGCATGTGCTGGGACTAAAGGTATATGCCACCATGCCTGACTTGTGTGGTAGTTGAACAAGTGTGTGAGCCCAACTTGGCCACATTCTTTATGTGTGTGTGTGTTCTTTTTGCTGGTGATTTTGCTGTTAAACCCCAAGCAGGATAACCCTGAGCACAGGAAGCCGAGGTGGGCTGTTAGACAGTAGGTGTGGACACCAGGCTGTGCACAGGCCTGAGTTAGTGCTGTGGATCAAAACCAATACACACATGCACCTCTAACATAGACTCATCTATAAGCACATATACGGAAACAACCTGATAGGCACACATAACTATAGAAATAGATACACATGCGTTAAAGTGTAGAAATATGCTTGAAGCATGCTGTGCACTGACTGCCCTACACTGGCTCCTTAGAAGCCAAGCTGTATCTCACTGCTGTAGCGTGCACATGGTTTAACCCTACTAAAACCCAAGTGGTGGTGTGACCACCATCAGCAGCCTGAGAGGAATGAATGCTCCTCTGCAAGGAGAGGACATGCTCTTCTCCACAGTGGAGCGTGCGGCCTCCTGTCATCTCTTCCAGGGGACCTGTTTGCCAAACTCTTGCACTTCCCAGGTGCTCTAACCTAGATACAGGGTTTTTATGCAAAACCAGTAATTCTATCTCATTCAGCAGAAAGTGTGACCCCATGCTCAGAGCAAGAGTTCCATATTTACCAGTAGGAGACTCCAGTGCATGATTCCCTTTGAGGGAAGAGCTGCACTCACACCCTTGAGGGGAGATCTTGTCGTGGTATGCAAGGGGCAGAACCAGGGCTCAGCCATCAGAACATTGCCCTGTCCATTTGGTGCAGTCAGAAAAGAGGGAAGCCCAAGGTGGTTCGGGAGGGGCCTAACAGGTCAGTCCACCTGAAGCAGCAGGATGCAGGGTGTGAACAAGTGGACTTACTTGGCTCAGAACCCTGCCTCACTACTTGTGAGGGTTATCTTCATTGTCATCATGACTGAGTTTGGAAACACACCTCTGGGCAAGTGTGGGAGAGGGCATTTTCAGAGAGGTTTACTTGCAGTGGGATGACCCATTCTGAATGTGGGCAGCACCGTGTTATGGACTGTGGGCCCAGGCTGAAAGAAAAGGAGACAGTGAGCTGCTTATCAGCACGAACTACAGACGTAGTGTGACCAGCTGCCTCATGCTCCGGCGTCCACATCCTCCCCACCGTGATGGACTGTCCATCAGACTGAGCCACAATAAGTCTTTCCTTCCCTAAGTCACTTCGTCGGGTGTCAAGTGCTGTGTCAAGGCCACAGCAAGGGCCTCAGTGTGACCACCCTGTTCCCCCTCCTTCCACCTTGGCCCCTCTCACAGCAGGTGGCAATAACCACCGCTCCCCACCCAGCTCATGGAGTGATGTAAACCATGGGAAGTGGCAGCTGTCAGTAAGGAATGAGTAATGACTTCTGACCACCATGGTGGGCTTCCTGTTAGAACAGAAGGAGGAAATCTGAACACAGCACCCAGCTATCCCCAGCCCAGTCCCAGCACCAGCCTCCCACCCCAGCAACCAGCCCCTCCCTGTCCCAGCAGCCAGACCCCAACCCAGCAGCAAGACCCCATCCCAGCAACCAGCCCCTGGGAGAGACCAGCCAGGACGAGAGGGAACTCTGCAAACAGCCACATCCACCCCCATAATAAAGTGGGTGACAACTGGAAGGGATGTGGCTGTGTGCTCAGGACAGCTGGGTCATTTGTCTAAATGGTTTTTTGTGGGGCTGGTTTTGGTTTTTTGGTTTGGGTTCGGGGTTTTTTTGTTTGACTTTTGTAGCTGTTTGATTTGTGATTTCGGTTTGTTTTTGAGACAGTGTCTCAGGTAGCTCAGACTGGCCTCAATCCCATTCTACAGTCGAGGATGACCTTGAACTCTAGGTCTTGCCTCCACCTCCCAAATGTTAGGACCACTGGCATGTACCACCACATTCAGGTTTTAGATACATATTTTAAAGGTTCCTCCCTAGCCTGCCTCCTTTTCGATCATGAAGAGGGCCTGAGTTCTGTCCCCACTTCAGTGGAGATGTGCCCTGTGATTGGAGAAGGTCAAACCTGTTCACTGCGGTTCCCTTCCTCGGATCTGGGTCACACTCGTGATCCAGAGCTCATTCGGCTCCATGAGGGATCTGTAGATGCATAGGTGTTTGGCGTAGTAGTGATTTGCATGTGTGTGTGCAAAGGCACACACATTGTATGTGTCTTCCTCAGTTGCTCTCCACCTACTATGTGTCAGACCCAGGAGTCCTCCTATCTCTGTCTGCCCTGACCCTTGGGTTACAAATACCCAGGTGGCTTTTTTGTTTGTTTGTCTGTTTGTTCGTTTGTTTGTTTTTCAAGACAGGGTTTCTCTGTATGACAACCCTAGCTGTCCTGGCACTCACTCTGTAGACCAGTCTGGCCTGAACTCACAGAGATCCATCTGCCTCTGCCTCCCAAGTGCTGGGATTAAAGGCATGCGCCACCACCGCTCTGGCTACCAGGCAGCTCTTACAAAGGAAAACATTCAATTGGGGCTGGCTTACAGTTCAGAGGTTCAGT